CATCCTTGTTCAGAGGGGGTGATGACAGAATCTCTTTGTTGCTGATGATTTGGGATAAGGGATGTAAGTCTGGAAGGCTCTTAAGTGCTGATGGGATTGGACCCTGACTCATCTAATGGAGTCAGGGAAAAGCAGCAACAGCTGGAGCTTGTGCTGGGCTATTTAGGGTTTGTCCAAGGTATGTCAGCTGGGTTTTGTGCTCTGAGACATGATGGGCATCCCTGCAGTTAGAGCAGTCATAGGCTGGGAATGGAGCCTCCCCAAAAATGTCACATGAGGAAACCAGTGGAAACCTGCTGGGAGCTCTCCCCAGGTGGGGGACTATGTGTGCTGGACAAATAATCGTTTTTTTATTAGACCTTTCAATTACTGCCTAAGAATGAGTGGCCTAAGACGCTGGAATGGAGTAAGATCCAGGAGTGGTACCTGAGTTCAGAGGGTTGGAAGGGGCCAAAGAAAGGAGCTGGAATGTCAGGGTGGTAATGAACCTCTTTGGTAATTAAGACCTTTCTTTTTTTCCCATTAAGCAGAAAACAGTGAAAACCCCTGCAGCAGCGATGGCTCAGGTACCTGTCTGGTCAGCCCCCAAGGAGGTGCCTCTGAACCTGAGCAGCAGCACCCCAGCCGTCTGGCACTTGGAGCAGCCCTAAAAGCTTCAGGTGTGTTCTCTAATCCCCTACTGTTTGGGGATCACACAGGATCTGTGTTACAGCATCCTCCGAGCATCCCTGGGCTCGGCTGCGCCTCATGGTTCTGCCACCGCTCACCCTCATCTCTCATTTCCATTCGTCAGTCATAGTTGAGGTGCATTTGGGTTTTTAGGGTGGGTTTTGCTTTCTTTTGTTGTGTGGGGCTTTTTTTTTTTTTTTTTTTTTTTTCCCTCTAGATAATCCTCTGCAGCATTTTACTGTGGGCATTTTGGCAAAACACCAATCTTGGCAAATCCTTCAGCCCTGCAGAGATGCCCAGGTGCCTGATGTGTGACATTCCTGGGGCTTTGAGTTATTCTATTTTCCCAGAATTCTGGCACATGGCAAGCCTAATGCTTTGGAATGCAGCAGTGAATTAAGGCCAAAAATGTTCAGAAGGGTTTGTGAACCTTCATTTTCCAACCTTTACAGATCAAGAATGGTTCTTGGACATCTATGACGCATGAAATACTGTGCGACCCCAAGTGATACAAAACTGTACCTCCATGGTCTTGGCAACACCTATAGAATAGGTGTATTTGTATTTTCTGCTCTGTCTAAACACTCAGTTTATGATATTTCAAACAAATCCACTTTGTTAATCCCCAACTGAAACCCTTTTGGGGGTGAAAAGAGGCAGGTGGAGGAGCAGAACTAGGAGCAGTCTGTCACAGCACAACTAGTCTGTAGCTGAACAAGGTAAACCTGGCCATAACAAATCCAAGTCGTCTGACCTGGCTCATTCTAGAAAAGAGGGAACGAAGACCTCAGTACAACAATCCTGTTCAAGCTCAGATGCAGATACACCACTGGCCAGAGAGCTGGGGGAGAGGTCCCATCCAATCAGCCATCTGAGCCGGGAGATTCAGACACCCGACAGAAAGGGCAGCGCATTCAGCTCAGCGCTCTTTGCTGGTGACTCTGTGCTGTGTCGTGTGTCTGTCTCCCGCCCACGACTCCACATAACAGTGGTCAAATGATTAAGCTCCTTTCCCGGGTTAATGACAGTGAAAATCGGATCTTGGGTTTGTCAAAAAAATTTTGGTTTGTCAAAACGATGAGGTTTGTCACAGCCATGTGTTAAAAACGTGCTAACAAGACCCAAACCTTGAACTTCAGCAAATATTTTACTAAAAAAACCTGCTGTGGCTGGAAGGGGAAAAAAAAGATGTTTTCTGAGATGGGCTGATCTCAGAGAACTAGAGAGGACTCAGCAGATGCTGTAGGGGCAGGACAGTGAATAAGAATTATTAAAATCACCACCAAATTCAAACAACCATGTCTCAGATGTGTGAGAAAAGCCCTTCTGCATGCCTATGTGTGGGGGTAATTTTCCCTTTTCCCTCATTTCTGCCTATTTAAAAAATTACTGTTATTTCACAAGGCTTTGGCTGAAAGCAAGAGGTATGACCCAAAACCTCAATACTGCTCATTAATCTGGTGTGTTTGTTTGAAAGACAGGTGTCTGCCAGGGAAGGCAGGAGCCTCCCTTGGAATGGAGAATGTAAACCCCCGACACCTGGATTATTATAATTTTGTAATCAAGGGGCTCTCAGGCAGATATGAGGACAGGAATAACAATTCTTTACTAGTATGTATAACAAGGCAAACAAAACAATAACCACAACATTAACAACAAACAGAACCAGGGACACAGCAAAAGCCTTCTGGGCTGCTGGCACTTTCCACTTTGGTGCAGTTACCGTCACAGCTGGCAGAAATGAGCAAAAAAAAAAATCCGGGGGTGGTGGACTAGATGTATTAGGAGTTCCACAGTGGTAGCTGGAACTCAGGGACGGCGCCGGCCACAGCGTGGAGAAACCGAACAAACAGCGGGGCCAGGGCAGCGCGGGCCGAGAGGCGAGGCTCAGGATTGCCAGGGCACACGAGCAGATGGTGATCGCTCCCTCAGTGCCGGTGGATTCTCCCTTGCAGGAAGGGAGAGCCTGGCTGTCCTCCTCTGATGCCAACAAGCGAGAGCACCCAGCTGCCTCCAACCCCATCTATTTTACCTGCCCCCAGTCTGGAGGTATCTCCGTCCCCCGGAGAGAAACTCCCCGAAGGAAAAAAGGTATACCCAGATGCTCCACTCCTCTCCCGACTTCAGGCACAGTCTTTTGTCTTTCTTAAGTACCCCTAAGTATCCATAAGTCCCCAGTAGTTAGTTTCCTAGCAATTTATGGGAAAAAGAAAAATCTGTAAGTAAAAGAAAAAGGAAAAAAAATCCCAACTCCCAACAACTGGTTTAATTACTAAGTGCGTTGGAGGGGGGGAAACTGTTTCAGCCTGCCTGTGCTGTGACCAAAGGCAGATCCCCCTCTCTGATGTGCTTCCAGCCTGGGTGTCCATCCCCAGGAAGCCTTCAGGTGACTATTGGAGATGTCGCAGCAGCCACCAAGGACAGCAAATCCCTGGGTCTGAGGTGGGATGGGATGTGTTTCTGGACTAGATGCAGGAGGCAAGACGAGGATGCTAAGACGACACAGGAGCCATGCAAAAACCTGGATGGAAAACATGACCTCTAAAGAAAAACATGCACAGCAGGGGCCACGTCCCACATAGTGGAATAAAAATCGGCTTAAATTAGTAAATACCCAATTAGGCACAAGTCAGCTCTGAATTAATGGCAAATGGGAGAAAACAGGAAGACTTCAGCTATGAGGGTTCGTAAGAGGGCCTATAAGTGGAAGATGCTGGTGGCATTTCAGCCTTGGGAAGAGACTTGTGTAAGACCACATCCCCACCTTTGAGAGCAACACGTGGCAGAAGATGCAATATATTTAGCCAGGAGGGCAAGAACTGTTGAGGATGGGGGAAAGGCTCCTGCCACACTGCAGAAGTGGCTCTGAACCAGCACTGGAGGGGACTGGTCCAGATGGGGAGTGAGGGGAGATCAAAGAGACAGTTCCAGAAAGATGCCCATGATTCAAAATATTGTAATACCACCAAGTCACAATTTTAAGTACAAAAAAATCCAACGCCATGCATCCCAAGGGAAAGTTAATGAAATTTATATAAATAGAATAAAAAACATTCTTTACACTGAAATATAAAAAGGCCTTTTTAGTGTGTGGTTTGTTGTTTTTTTTTTTTTTTTTTTGGGGGGGGGGTGTTTTTGTTTGTTTGTTTTAAAGCATAAGAGTCCTTTTCAATCCTTACTGCAGTGGCTTTGGTTGTTGTTTTTCGAACCCCAAAATCTGGGTTCAGCACCTGATGGGAGATGCCAGCCTACAAGCACTGCTCTCCCATGAGGTGTGCAGGACAGCTTTACAGGGGGACTGCAACTTAAAAGAGATAAAGACAGTTCATGCCAGGGAGAAAGAGAGAAATCACGCGCCCCCTCGGGGAAAAAATAGCATTATTTCTCCTCCAGCACAGCCAGGGACCCAGAGCCAGGCATGGGCATAACATCAAATAGAGGGAAAGGAAATAAAACAGAAGGAAAGAAAATAAAAACGAGAAAAGTAGAATAAAACAAAATAGAGCAAAATAACATAAACAAAATTAAATAGAGCAACCCAAAATTTTTTAAAAATCAGCTTTCTCTTTATATTTGGGTTTAAAGATAAAATTAAAAAATAGATTATGAAGCTGTTTGGATAATTTTCAGTGTCCTTCCCTGTGGGTTGGTTGGCACAACACCTGCAGCAGGGCTGGAGGGATGGAGTACAGAGAGTTTGGAGGATTTACAGGTGAAATTGGAGCTTTGGCAGTTGCAAAACAATTAGTAGCAGTAGAATAGAGGTACAAAGTGGTGGAGGCAATTAGCAGGTTGTATTTGGAACCTTCACTGTCTGCTCTAGGGGATCTTGGCAGGGGAAGAGGGATTTGGACCCAGCAGGGAGGCACCAAAATTCAGGGCTCTGTCCATCTGTAACCAAAACCAAATAATTTATGTTCAGACCCTCTTTTTGCTGCTTTAATTTGCCCAAACCCATTCATTGTTTAACAAGGCACAGCCTGGTCCTGGACAGGAATGAGTCCAAGGCAGGTTTGGGCTGGCAGAGCTCAGCTGGAGCAACTGGCCTCCAGGAAGGAATCAATAACAATTAATAATAATTTTAAACTGTTGCTTTTCAGTAGCAATGAGGAAGGGTAATGCTGCATCCTAAAAGCATCCCTCTGCCAAGAACGGGGTGTAGGGATGCTTGAACCCCAAGTCGGGCTGGTGCTGTTAGAAGCAAAAACTTCATCCAAGGAAAACCAAACACTGGCTTTCCTCCCCACTTGCTCCTGAAAACAGGATGTGACAGAGGGGTGGCCATGGTACAATCCCTGTGGGATTGGCCAACTGGCTCTGTGCCCCTTTGCCACTGGCATCACCTCCCTGCAGCACCCCCAGAGAACCCCTGCGACAGACAGAGATGGCATGGCCACAATGTGGGGCTGGGGGTACCACCCCGCCCCGCTGAGGAGAACACAGCAATGATGGATGTGACAGGTGTGACACTTCAAACCTCTACTTTAGAGGCTGGCACTGAAATTGGTGCTGAAACCTGGAAGATAAGAAGGAGAAAGGTCTCACGGGACATTCAGGGTCCAGGCAGGGTGGGAACACCAGGGTCTTGCCTCTTTTTGGGAGGGAGGGGAGGCACTGGGCAGCAGGAGCGCAGGGCGAGGGCTCAGATGTACTCCCGGGCTGTGGAGGGCTGTGCCTGCTGATGGTACTGCTGTCCTCGGCGCTCCTTGGCAGGGCAGGAGCAGCACAGGAGGGACCCCCCCAACATGGAGAGGCTGGCGGCCCCCCAGCCCACGAAGAGAGCAGAGCCGAATTCGTACCTGCGATGAAAGGGGTAAGGGCGCATCAGGGAGGGGCAGAGGGGCACAGGTGCAAACTGAGATGGGCAACAGGATGCTTGAAGCTCCGATGAGGTGATCAAGGCAGATTTTAGTTCTTCCCTCTCCATCCTCATCTTTCCTGTTGGCTGTATCCAGCTACCACATGTCCCCAGCTTATAATCCTCCCCTGGGCTGAAATTCCACACGTGCACCACTACCCAGTCCCAGCTGGCAGCGAGGGCTGGCAGAGGTCCCACCCATGGGGCACACTGGCCCACAATGCTGTGCCTCACCAAAACCAGAAAGGAAAGGTCCAATGGGAAGTGCAGGGACAAGACAGGATTCAGAAGGGCACCTCCTGAGCCAGGGTCTTACCTAGTGTTGATGGGGATGGTGCTCTCTCTGAAGAACTCATAGGTCACCTGCGTTGCATACAACGACACGGCAGCCAGTGTGCACAGACCTGGGCACAGAATCGTGGAATCACAGAATGTTTTGGGTTGGAAGGGACCTTTAAAGATCACCTAGTCCAAAGCCCCTGCAGTGAGATGGTTGCCTAGCTGTTCCACTAGACATCAAACATTGGCTGTCAGTGACATCCAGCCCTCACCAAACTGCTCCCCTTCCTCTATCGGTGTTGAAAGGTATCTGAGGATTCCTGCACCAGTGATGTATGAAGGCTAGAGCTGCCTTACCAGAGAGAACGAAGAGAACACCTCCAGCAACAGCTATGCGGCTTTTGGTGACAGGATCCTCCTCCCCAACTTTAGTGCATTTCATGCCCACCACGCTCACGATGATGCCAAAGAAGCCCAGGAGGAGAGAAACGACCATGAGAGCCCGGCATGTCTGGATGTGAACTGCAAGGGGGGAAGAAAAACTGCTCCCAGCAGGTGCCTTTGACCACAGCCGGGCACTGGAAGCAAGGTCATTGTGTTCCATGCTGGTGATGGATCTGTCCTTAACCCTGTCCTTGCTGTGTAGCTCCTGTGTCATATCCTCCCCACTTGGTAGATATGGGGACCTCAGCTCAGCTCAAGGCACTGCTCTCAATGCCTTCCCTGACCTTCCTCCCTTCCACCCTCATCCTGGTCATGACTGTGCTGGGCTAGGAAACACCTTGCCAGGAGCAGCACCACAGTCACCAAATGCCAAAAGGGTGATGCACGGTCATGGAGCAGGGGTGGGGGGGAGTGTTTGATGTCCCCATGGGGCACTGTTGGTATCTAAATGCGATGCCCACGTTGGGGCTCAAACCTGCTGGGGCCAGGAGCACCCCAGCCACACAAATGGGCTCAAACCCACAGGGCCAAGAGAGGCTCAGTCCTGGGAGGGGGCCCAAGATTCACAGATGGAGAGGGAAGCTTGGACCCACATCAAGGCTCAGCTCAGTGGATGAGTGGACTCAGACCCTTCTGAGGGGGGGTCAGATCTACAATAGGGGTGGGGGCAAGAAGGACTTGGATCTGAAGGTGACTCAGGCTCCAGGAAGAGCCAGGGGAGCTCAGATGCATAGGGGAAGGAGGCATCCAGACGTGAAGAGGGTACAGACCTGTTCGGGATGTGTGTTCAAACTCATACAGGTGGGTTCAAACACAGAGAGACTCAGACTTACAAAGGGGCAAGGGCATCTCAGGATCCCAGGGGAGCTCAGACCAAGGCAGAGACGGGGAGCGGGGACTGCATCCAGGAAAGGAAGCGGGGCTCGTCCTACGGGGCCCCGGGCCCCTGTACCCACCTTCGAGGGAGAGCAGCGAGTCGTGCAGGCGGCACTGCACCTGCCCGGTGCTCTGGGCGGCGCAACTCATCCACAGCCCCTCGTGGAGCCCCACGGCCGTGATGATGGCGTCCCCGGCGTACGAGCTCTGCCGCCACTGCGGCAGCACGGCGGCCGCCAGCCCCGCCACCCAGCCGGCCAGCGCCGCCAGGTACCCGGCCAGCTCCCGCGCCCCGCCGCCCATCGCCGCCGCCGCGCCCGGGCCCGCCCCGGCGGACGGAGAGCGGCCGTGGGAGGAGGGACAAGGCCCGAGGGGCGGCTCTGAGGGGGAACACGGGTCGGGGCGGGGGGAGGAGGGCAATGTCGGGGAGGATTTGAGGGGAAGGGAGAGACATGGGTCTTGCGCGGGGAGATTTAGGTCCCAGAGGGGATTTTTTGAGTCTCGAGTGGGAGAGTTGGGGCCAAGGGGGTGGGTTACCTGGAGCTTAGGGAATTGGGTACCGGGAAGCGGGAATTAGAGGCCTAAAGCGTGGGGGGCGGGGGCACTGGGGCCCAGGGAAGAGCATTCGGTCTGAGGGGGAGAGATTTGAATCTGAGGAGAGTGATTTGGGGTTGGAGGCAAGGGATTTGAATCCTAGAGGGAAGAATGTGGTCTTAGGGGAAAGATTTGGGGCATAGAAGATATTTGGGTCCTACAAGAGAGATTTGGGTCTGGAGAGAGATGGAAACCACCCAACGACAGTGTTGGAATATGCGAAAAAGGGGGTCCAAGGAGGACAGGAGGAGCGAGGGGGTTAGTGTGAAGTTACCATCCTTGACTCCCTGCCGTGGACGGGGAGCCCCCGGAGGCCCCAGGGGTCACTCCAGGAATTCAGCAGGGAGCAGGGAAACAGTTCATTCAATGAGGGAATTCAGGCACACCATGCCACCATGGCACCAACAAGAGAAGCCATTGTCAGTGGTGTATGCCTGCGGGGGTGTGGGGAACATGTGTCACCACCCTGGTGACACCAAGCCCATTGCAGCCCCAGGACCTGGCAATCGTTAACTGCCATGGCCTCATCAGCAGTCTGCTCACGAACTCAGGCAGCTGGGGGTGGACACTGGGACGGTGGGCAGCCTACACTGGGACTGTATGTTCATCCTGGAGAAAACATCCTCCAGATCCCCCCTTGCCCACCCCAATGCTGAATGGCCCTCCAAGTGAAATAGGGGTGCTGGGTGGCTGCACATGGGGCAGGATTTTTTTGCCCACATTCCCGGGATGGTTATGGTAATGGCGAGACATCTGCAGGAACAATTCAATGCCCTGTCCGGGAGTGCCAGGATGCTCAATGTCCTTCTTGTTCAAGGACAGTTCCCTCCTCACTGGAATGGTGGGTTCCTTCCCACGTTATGGGAGCGAGGTCCAGGAGATGCTCAGCCAGAGATTGCATTGCTGCTACTGCCCCTGGGACACCTTGTCTCCCATAAACACCTTTGTGAGGCTTACAGGGCTACAATACTCCTGGGTAGATGCTTGCCAGGAGGGAAGGTTGTACCCCAACACTGACAACAGCCAAAGGGTGACACCAGCCTTCAGTCCCCACCTGGAAAGCAACAGCTTAGAAAAAAAATACCTTTATTCACCCATTTTCTGCAGAAGGCACTTATATACCTCCAAGTTCAGGAAAGGCACACATCTGCACCCATTGGCACCAGGACCCCACCCCTAACAGAGCATCCCTCCCTTGTCCCCATGTCACCCACCCCTGAGCCTCCATCACACACCCCAGGTCAGCTCCACAGGGGAATACTGGATGCTGCAGGGGTAGTACACAGCATTCCCCAAAGCCCCACTCCAACTGGGTTGGGGGCAGAGGGGATCCCCTATGTTACCCTTATGACTATGCAGCTTGAAGCCACAATGCTGACATGACTAGTCCCAGCAGAGACGTCCCGGTCCCTGTAGGATGTCACAGCTCATCCTTCCCGACCGCAATGGCAGCTGGTGATTCCTTCTCTGGCTCCAAATCCCCCTCTTCCACACTGAAAAGCATCTTCACCAGGTCATCTGCCTGCACACGCTCCTGTGGGCAGACCCATAGTGGTAAGCATAGCCACTGTCCCAGCCAAAACCCCTACGACTGCTGGGAGGGAGCTTACCCGCTCACTGTGCCGAGGGTCCAGGGTGAACCAGAGGGCAATAGCGCAGCGCTGACCCTTGGTCACAGCTTTCACCCCGTGGGGGTTCTCTGAGCCAGAGGAGAAGCCCACAGCACGGCCACACTGCGGCTGGACCTCTGCCTGTCAAGGGTGGGAGACCAGGAGACCCCAGTCAGGGGTGAGTTGGTTCCCCTCAACCCAAGTTCATCTTTTGCAGTGGCTCAGGGGATGTTCCCAGGGCACAGGGCCAACAGGCAGGAGCTAGATTTGGTGCTGCACATGGATCCTTGGAGCTGAGCTACTCACGGTCTCAGTCTTGGCATCCAGCTCGGTGAAGTAGAAAGCTCCTCCTTCAAAGTCCCCATTGAGGTAGAGGATTGCACTAAAGGGAGCAGGGGACAAGTGGAGGTGACAAGTAACCATCACCAGAGCTCTCCAGCACCATGGCAAGAGCCAGAGGCAAGAAAGCTCAGGTCTGGTGTACCTCCTACCTTGCTCCTCCCAACTCAGGTGCCACCAAATCATGGTACCCTTAGGTGGGGAAGCTGCAGCTGACAGCCACCACCAGTACCTGTAATCCCGGAAAGTGTAGGCTGGGGGTTCCTTCACGCACAACAGTGCCTCTGCATTGAGAATGCAGTTGTCCACATGCACCTCATGGCTGTTGTCACTCCGGCCTTCTTGCTTCTCTAGGGTAGAAGAGGGCATGTCAGGAGCCCTCTGTGCAAGAACAGGGTCCCTTCCCAAGTATCCCGTGCTTGTAGATGACAAGAAAGTAGTGCGTTAGCCTAAAGCACTTCCACTTGCTGGAGCGTGGATCGTGCAAGGCCATTTGGGTGGCATAAAACACTGTTGACTTGTCCCATGGCACTTCCACAGCCCTCTTCCACCCCCAGGTACAACCTCTCTCAGCACCCATCCCAAAATGCCTCAGAATGATGAAATCCTGTATGGCATGAGGCCATCTGCCCTGTTAGAGGCAACCAGCAGAGCTGCTGCTCATCTTCCCAAACTGGGCTTAGCGACAAGCTTCCTACACCCTCCTGGGAAGGAGAGTGGGTTAGGGAGCAGCAAGAAGGTCTCCAAAGAAAGGTCCAAGACTACGCCACTCCAGCTGTTAGAGGAGATCCAGACAGGAAAAGACAAAAGACTTGTTCCTCTGGGCCACACTCACCATCAATGGCTGTGCGGCACACTAGGTGGGAGTAGGAGAAGTGGAGTGGGACCTCCAGGCGGAAGTAGGACGCAATCATGAGCCGCACCTTCTCTGTCACGTTGTAGTACAAGTAGGCACTGTGCAGGGGCACCTTCCCCTCCTGCCCCAGCTGTGGAGGACAGACAGGACAGGGACTCAGCCCCATATGGGCATGGGCAACCATCTCCCCCAAAACTACCCTACCTTGTCCCCACAGCCTGTTTCTCCACACAGCCACCCCAACCTTGAGGGCCTTGAGGACAGTCACGCCGTAGAAGGTCTCGCTGGGAGTGTGAGGAGAGGTCTTCCCCCGATAGCCATCTCCAGCCGAGGCAGCCGCCTGTAAAACCCGATTTGTGTTACTGGTCTGATGTGTGAGCTGCTGGATGGGACCCCTTGATGGATAGATGGCATCCTCTATCCATCCCTGCCTTCTCTACCTGTTCTTGCACTCACGTTAGTGAGTCTCTGCAGTTCTCGGCACTCCTCAGCAGACAGGACTCCATCCACCACGACACGCTGGGAGCCATTCAGGGCCTTGGAGTTCATGGTGACACTGGCTCCTTTGTACACCAAAGGGCCACCTGTGGCACAAGTGGGATTGGTGGATGTGGGGAGAGATGCCACCAGCTCTGGTAGGGCTGGGGGAAGCTGTGGTCCCTCCACCTGCTCCTGCTGCCACCCATGTGTAGAGGGACTGTGAACTAGCAGCAGGGGTCACAAAGGTCTCCATCCCACCTCCCCTCCTGGCCTTCTCCACCTTCTCGGATGAACTTGCTCATGTCGGCAGACTCTTTGGCCTTCTCCTCCACCAGTGTCTCAATTTCCTTCATGAGGTTGCCGATTTCCTCAGAGATGCGTGCTGCAGTCTCCCGCTCCACCCTGGGCATGCGGCAGCCATCAGCACCACCACCCCACTGTCCCCACACCAGAAATGAGGGCCACTAAGACAAGGGCAGGACAAGCTGTCTCAGGTGCTCGTAACAAAGCTCGCACCTAGACTGGAGAGTCACCTCAATGCATCCCACACTCTGAGGTGTTTGGGGTGACCTACACATGCCCATCATCCCATGGGCTGATGGGAAATAAAGTTCTGCCCTCCAGCAGCCTCTTCCAGTCCCAGCATCAAAACATCCCCTGGCAGGAGCTCTATGCTATGTCCTTTAGCCCAAAGCCCACACTGGAAGAAAGGTTTGTCCTGTCAGACCCCCATTGGGTGAACTTGGCTGGGGACAGCACTCACTTCTGTTTCTCTCGCAGTCTTTTTGGTATCACCTCTTCAGGTGTCCATGTGTCCTGCCACCAGAAGAACAACATCGGGAGCTGGACAAAGACCTGGCCAGGACACAGATCCCTCATCTGCATTCCATCTGGCCACTGCATCACCCTGGTCTCACATCACCCACCGGGTCCACAAAAGGGATGCCAAAGACGTCATAGCTGAAGAAGAGCAGCTCCTTCTCCATCAGACTCTGCTGGTAATATGCCTGGATCTCCTGTGGCAAGGGGCAGAGGGATGGGGTGAGGTAGAGCAGGAGGATTCTGAAAAACCCCGAATGTGGGCAGGAAGATGCAGGTTTACACCATTCCTGTGGTCCTTGCTCCAGACCCGCAGCCTTGTTTCCTGCTCCATCTGGCAGGTGGGCAGCAAGTGGCATTTCCCATCCTGTCTGAACTTCCCTGTGGACAAGCCCTGGGGAGATGACAGTTGAGCAGAGGCACATGTGTGTCTCCTCTGCAGGAAGCTCTTTAGGAGCAGTTTCCCTTCCCCTACTCCAACTGGTGTGGGGCAGATACTCCCATCCATGCCTATCACATCCCCGGCAGGACCTGGCCATCCAGATTTGGCTATTTTGAAGCCAAATCCTCTCCTTTTTAAGCAATTTCACTTCAGCTGTGGAAAAGTGCAACAGAGGTAGCTCAGATCCTCCTAAAAAGATTGTCCACCTGCCTCTCACAGCCCCCTCTATCAAGAAAGCGTCCATGTGTGCCTGTCATCCAACTTCACCTGGCCTAAGACATTTTGCCAGTGATGTTTTTCAGCTACTTTCCAGGTTGTCTGACCTTAAATCCACCCATTCCTGTCCACCTTTGGTATCTGGTACGGAAGAGAACCTACAGCTTCTGCAAAGTCCCCAGCGAGAAGAGAAGATGTCCCTGCAATCGTTCGTCCTTCTGACTGCTCACCTTTCGCGGTTGGATGGGTCTGGCCAGGTTTTCCCCCAGGACAGCAGTGTAATAGGCCAAATTTTGGTTCATCACCTCATCATGTGGGAAGAAGAGCAAATAGGTCTTGGCGCATTCAATGGCTTTTTCATAATTCCCATCTGCAATGAGAAATGGGCTGTTAATGGCACGTCCAAGGACACTGGAGGCAGAACAAAGACAGATATGGAGGAGAGATGAAAGACATAGTCCTTGTGTTCCAAACTGTGTCACAAGTAGGGCAGATCCCCTGGGGCAAGGATAACTGCTGCCACAAAGGCAAAATTCAGACTCTGTGGTGCTCTCCTCTCTCCAGAAACCATCACAGCAGAAACCAGGGGTACTTGTACAGCTTGGGTACTTTTCTCACTTGGAAAACATGACAAAGCCTATTTAGAGGAGCCAGACCCAACCATTTACTGGCAAACCTGCAGTTTCCAGCCACTGAAACATCCTACCCCACTTTCATGTGGTCTTTCACAGCATCACAAAGTCACAGAATGAGTCAGATTGGAAGGGACCACAGTGGGTCATCTGGCCCAACCTCTCTGCTCAAGCAGGGTCCTCCGAGAGCATACAGCACAGGACTGTGTCCAGACTGCCTGGAATATCCCCAGTGAGAGAGATGTAACACCCTCTCTGGACAATCTCTTCAGTGCTCAGTCGCTGCAAACATCCTCATATCCAGATGGAACTTCCTAGCCATGAGTTTCTGGCTCTTGTCCTATTGCTCAGCACCACAGAGCAGAGCCTGATCACATCCTCCAGCGTTACCCTGCAGATACTGACAAACAATGATGAGGTCCCCTCACAGCTGTCTCTTCTTGAGGATTTCTATTCTCTTGGACTTCATATTTTTCCCCTCCTTTTGGAGAAATTCACACAGAAACATCTTATACTTTTCTAAAGAAGTATAAAATATGAAATATTTTATATTTCATATATATAAATGAATATATATGAAATAAAATGAAATCAAATCAGGTGTATTTTCCTGGGTTGTAACTCTTCTGCAGTGGGAGTGTGCTGCTGTGATTTGAGGCAAGAGGTGGACAGCTGGCAAGGAGGAAAATAAATGTTTCTCTCAGCAGTTGTTTCACTTGAAAAGTGAAGCTGCCCAGTAATAAAGCAACGTGGACAGGGACTGCAGCCAAGCACGGAGTGATCTAATCTCCTGGAGAATGTTTCAGGCAGGAGGAACATGCCTGTTGAACCTCATGAAGTACAAGGCCTAGTGGAAGGCTCTCCAGCAGTATCAGAGAAGATAGCGGGATGGATGGGATTAGAGCACCCAGAGGAGAAGGATATGGAGTTAATAGTGGGTGAAAAATTGCACAGGACCCATCCATGTGCACTAGCAGCTCAGAAGCCCCCTCTCCCCAGGCTGATCCCTGGCAGCATGGGCAACAGGTGAGAGAAGGATTCTGCCCCTCTGCTCCACTCTGGTGACATGCCACTTGCAGTGCTGCGTCCAGCTCTGGGTTCCCCAGCATAAGGATATGGACTCATTAGTGCGGGTCCAGAGGAGGCCACCAAAACGCTCACAGGACTGGAGCCTCTTTGTGAAGAAAGGCTGAGAGAATTTGGCTTGTTGAACCTGGACATGAGAAGGCTCCTGACAGATCTTGATGGCCTTCCCATACCAAGAGTGGCCACAAGAGAGATAAAGACAACTTTTGTAGTTTATAAGGTTTATAGTGACTGGACAAGGGGAATTGTCTTAAACTGAAGAAGGGCAGCATGAGGTTGGCCATAAAGAAGGAATTTTAGGTCTGGGCAGTCTGTGCCAGGGAAGGAATCAGGTTGGCCATAAGGAAGGAATTTTAGGTCTGGGCAGTCTGTGCCAGGGAAGGAATCAGGCTGGCCATGAGGAAGGAATTTTAGTCTGGGCAGTCTGTGCCAGGGCCTCACCACTCTCATCAGAGTGGTGAGGCCCTGGCACAGACTGCCCAGAGTGTTAGAGACTGGGTTGGATGGGGCTCTGGGAGATCTGAGTGACCAGTGCTAGATGTCCCTTCATCTTCAGTTGTACTGATGAGATTATCTTTGAAGGTCCTTTCCCCACCAAACCACTCTAAGGATCTATGATTTCAGGCAGGGTGCCGAGTGCTGACAACCACAGAGGACGAGGTGAGGAGCTGCTTACTGTTGTAGTAGGCAAACTGCAGATAGTTGAAGTGCGAGGGCAGGAAATCCTCCAGAGGCTTCTCCTGGCCAGGCTGGGAGGCCAGCTCTGTGACACAGCCCTGCTTGCAGCTTAGCACTTGCATGGAGTGATCTGGAAGAGAAAAACACCATGCTCACAGTCACCCACGGGCTGATGGGCAGGACCCTGAGGGGTATTCAATCTCCTGCTCATACTGGGGCTGTTGCAAGCTTTTTGGTAGTGGAAAACCCTCAGGGATGGGGGTCATCCACCTCAGAGTTGACCAGTGTGGGGTTGTGGTGCTCTCTCAGGACAGACTAGCCATCATCAGCCTCCCATCACATCCTGGTGACCCTCTACTGGTCTCTCTTCTGTCTTTCCATGTTCCTCTGGAATTAGGAGAATTCCTGGGCTTCAGTGCCAGTGCTAAGTGTAGGTAAACACCTCCTGCCATTTACTAGCCACACCTTCCCTAGTGAAAGCTAGGACGGGGTTTCCACTCTTCAGGGACCCCCTACCCCCACCCCAGGTCTTTGTGGACCAACCTCCTGAGAATTGTACTCAACTCTTGTGACAGGACACAGAAGGCATGGCTCCCACCTGTAATGGCCTGGAAAAGGTCTGCGTTGTACTCAAGGTAGTTGTAACCCTCGTAGTCATAGGGTCCCTCGCAGAGAGCGCGGCATTCAGCGTCTGCCACAAAATACTCCTCCAGCGCCTTCTCCAGGTGCAGGATGGCAGCAGCTGGCTGCTCCTCTGTGTAAAACCGGATGCCCAGCTGAAATTCGCTCTGCGGAAGGATGAGAAACGATGAGGGGATCTCAGTGCTTCACCCCCCTGTGATGGGTCGTCTCATCCCCACCACAATGGCACCTCACGAGCTCTCTGAGCTAGCAGCTGTGGTGTGATTGCCCTGGGTTGCACAGCGGATAGGGACTTTGGGAAGGGAGGTTCTCACCAGGTGGGGTTTGGCCTCCAGGTCAGTGAAGTCATCCTCGTGGACTCCCACCATGGCCTGGTAGTACTCCAGGTTTTGCCTCATCTCCTGGTGCCCGGGGTTGGCCACGAAGAAAGTGTGAGCGGCCGCCGCCGCCTGCGCTGGCCGGTTCATCTGGGTGGGACGAGGGTGAGACAGCGCGGATCCCGTGCAGAGCGGAGCGGACACCCGTCCCCGGGGCATCTCGGCAGCCAGGGCGGAGGGCGGTGACGGGGGCGGCTCCGGCGAGCTCCGACGTGGCACTGGTGGGGGGGCGCGAAGGCGGGGGGGCAAGGCCGAGACTGCCGGCCGGCAACCCCACTCCGCCGGGGCAGACACCGAACCCTCCCGGCGGCCCGGGACCGGGATCGCCACCGGCCGGTTCACCCGGTCCCACCCATCCATCCTCCCGCCTGATTCCGGGATCCTCCGTGCATCCCGTCCGTCCCAAAACCCGTCGTAGCGGGACACCCCTTTCCTTCCCTTCCCCCTTTCCCTTTCCTTCCCCGCCGCCGGTGCCGCACCTTGAAATAGGCGACCTGGAGGTAGTTGTAGGGGCTGCGCCGGCTGAACTCCCGGTCCAGCTCCTCGCCCAGGCGGTATCGGGAGGGCGCAGCGGGCCCGCAGCCCCGCAGGCAGGCGGCGCGGCGAAGCAGCGCACGAAAGAACCACAAGTCCCGGAGCACCGGGTCGGGCTGGGACTCGGTCGCCTCCACCGGCCCCGCTGTGGCGTTGGCGCAGCGCAGGCGGCACCGCATCAGACGGGAGCGCACGGCGGCCCGCGCCCGCAGCGCCCGCTCCATCTGCAGCACTACGGTGGGCCAGTCTCCCCGCGCGTACGCCTCGGCACCGGCGGCGAACAGCGCGTCCGGGGACTGGGCGGGCAACGGCGGGTCGCCCGGTGCTAGGGTCGGGACCGGGACCAGGACCGGTTCCGGTGGCGTGGCCGCCCGCGCCAGCAGCACCATCAGCAGCGGCAGTAGCAAAAGCGGCGGCGACAGCGCCATGTCCGAACGCCGGCCGAACCGCGGCACCAGCCAGCCCGGGCGCCGGAGCGATACTAACTCCGCCCCCTCCGCCCCGCCGCCGGCCAATCAGCGCCAGCAGAGCCCCGCCATGGTCGCGCCCCTCACCGTGCGTGCTGACGCTGCAGCGGAAGCCTCTCCAGCGGGCGGAAGCGGTGGGTCGTGGCTGTCCATGGCGGAGGGCGGCTCGGAGCCTGGGGATGACGGCCCCGGCCCCGGCCCGGGTCCCGGCCCCGGGTTGGCCCTGGTCGAGGGCAGCGCAGGCCGCGCCGGCCGCGTCGGGGACCCCGGTGACCTAGTGGCCCTGGCCCAGCAGGTGCAGCAGGTGAGGGCCGGGTCCCAGCGGCGGGGCAGCAGGGGCAGGGCTGGGCTCGCTGTCCGCTGCTTCCCGGACGTCTCCGGGGCCTTCTCAGGCGGCGGCGGCATTGGTGCCTCCCAGCACGTCCCGCTGCTTTCCGGTGACCCCGGCGGCCTCCTGGTGTGTCCTGTGCTGATTCCCACAATCTCCCGCTGTCCCCTCCCAGTATGTTGCTGTGCCCCGCCGGTATCTTCCCGAGTTCCCACGTTGTTGGTGTCTCCAGAACCTCTCATTGCACTTCAGTGCTTCCCACTGTGCCTTGCTGCCCCACAGTGACTCAGAGCATCGCACTGAAGTCCCATTCCAGTATGCCCTGCTGCCTCCCAGTATGTCCCCCTATATATAGTTCACAGCAGCATGTACAGATGCCTCCCACTACCATGCTGCCTCCATCCTAGCATCCCTGGTATGTTCTATGACTGCTTCAGTGATTCTCGGTCCATCCTGCCTCTCAGTCCTCCCCAGGTTTTCCTGATATGTTCTACTGGTCCTCCCAGTGCGCTCCAGTATGTTACACTATTCCTCCAGTGCCTCATAGTACATCCTACTGATCTCTGGTGATGTTCCTCAGAGCTTCTCAGTTCACCTTAAAGCTCAGTGTATGTCCTACTGCCTGCTCCCTGTGTTGCCCACTACCTCCCAGTCCAACCCGTTGCCTCCCAGTATGTCCTGCTGCTCCCTCTCACTGCCCCTCAGCCTATCCAGACTGCTCCTGGTCCTTGCTCCTGCCCAGGGGTGCCAGGACAGCTCCTGCACCCCCCAACTCTGTGGATGCCTTGAGCTTGACCACAGCTGGCTCAGCACAGTCCAGAGGGCTGTCATTCTTCCTGTTCTGACCTGCCCAATTTTCTCTCCCAGGCCGATGACTTTATCCGAGCAAATGCCTGCAGCAAACTGACAGTCATCGCTGAGCAGATCCGGCACCTGCAGGAGCAGGCGCGGAAGGTGAGTAAGGACGGGCAGAAGGCTCATTGCCTTGGGAGATGAGCATCTGCTGCCGCTGCTGGGCATTTGGGAAGGGCTGTGGCCTACATGTGAATTGGGGCTAGGAGCTGAGCAGAGAAGATTTAGTGGAAAAATAAGGAGATTTATTGTCCAGTGTCAAGGGGGATGGGGGAGGGTTGATTTTTGTGCTTTCCCTGTGTCCTCACCAAACCAGGAAGGACTTTATGAATAAAGTAGGGGGGCAAGGGCAGGTGGTCCAAAACAGCTCGTGGGTATCAGGACAGAAAGAGATGACTCTGCTTTTGGAACTGGTGATTTGTGTGTGCACTATGCTCTTGGAAGGATCTGATGAAGTGACAATGTGGCCCTAGCTGGATCTGAGGCCCTGGGGTGAAGTGGTGCACTTCAGTGGATTCCTCTGTGAGCGACTAGCGCTTTCAGGGCCTGGAGCACGCTCGCTGTGAGAGCTGACAACAGAGGCAAAGGACAGGTCTTTGTATGGAAGTCTAGGGACAGTCTGTGGAGTCTGAAAGGGAATCCAGGGACAGGGACAAACTTGGACTGAGGGCACAGGGTTTTATATGGTGAAAAAGGGGTGGCTCTGAGGGCTAAGGTCCGATGGGAACAAGTGAAAATGGTGCAGAGGAGGGGCAGCCCACCAGGGGAACCAATAGGGTAACAGGGGTGGAACACTGAATCAAACTGAGACCAATGGGGATCAGGAGAGGGAAGAACTTTCTAGGGAACATACAAATATGGTGAATAGGGACTGAACTGGGGTGGAGCAACTGTATGAACCAATGGAACTTAAGATATTCACATGTGCCTGCAAAGGCTTATGGGAGTGAGGTACTTCTCACCCTAACCTAGGAGGGGTGTTTCTCCTTGCCTGCTTCTGCCTCCTGCCTTCTTTAAGGGATGATAGTTCTAGTGGTTGGTTCTCAGGCCTGCCTACTGGGAAAGATGAGTTCTCTATCTAGTGATAAGCTTGGTTTCATGTTTATCTGGATGGGTTTGCTGGAGTGGGTGGTCCCAGGAGTACACAGCAGCGCTTGGCTGTGTTCATCAGTCTAGCTTTCCGTTCTTCATAGTAAAATCAGGAGCCAGAGTGAGGAAGGATCTGCCAGTCATTGCAACTGGCCCACTGCCATTGAGGCCATTGCATCCTGTAATCATTAACTGGTGGAGCTGGAGCAGTCAGGTGGTGGAACTGGGGAGATGAATTCTCCTTTTGTTTGCTGCCCCTTCCCTTTCAGGGGCACAGCAGGAAGGCCTGTCTTTGGTTGCAAATGCAAGTTGTGGCTGGGGGTGTGTATTCTATTACCATCTGTTAGAGGTGGGGCACTTATCTTCTGTTAATTGGGCCACCTGTTAAAACCAGGTGGGGCAGTTTTCCTTATCTCTGCTGTGACCCATCCTCCTTCCCAGGAGATGTCTTCTGTCAATTGGCATTGAGTGTCACTGCATGACTGATAAAGTTATCATCATCCCGTTGGGAGATGCTCTGCCCAGGGGGAGGAGCCAAGCATTCCTACCTGAATATAATCTGAGATTTGGAACACCACAGTCAGCCTTTTCCCACTTGATTCCCAGAGGAGCAGCTTTCTTTTCCACTGGATTTCCAGAGAAATACCAGGCCCATTTACATCACCCCTGGACCTTCAGAGGAAAACTCCACCCTTCTACAGGATCACTGCTTCAACAGAACCACAGCTGGCACTGCAGGAGGGCTACAGCTATTATTTAATCAGACTGCTACCAACAGCCTGACCAACAGGGTGTGAGGTCATATTTCTGACTCCATCAGTGTTGTTTTGTACTACTGCATTTTTATTTTTATTTTTTTTTCTTAATAAAGAACTGTTATTCCAACTCCCGTATCTTTGCCTCAGAGCCCCCTTAATTTCAAAACTATAACAGTTTGGAGGGAGGAGGTTTACATTTTCCATTTCAAGAGAGGCTCCTGCCTTCCTTAGCAGAGACCTGTCTTTTCAAACCAAGACAAGGCCCCAGTCCAGCAGCTGTGTGTGGAGATGAGGAATAAGCCCAATATGTGGTGGCATCAAGTATAGAGATGAATCTGGGGTGAGATGCAGAGGTATCTCCACCTCTGTAGAGAGGTTCTCTGAAGTCCTACTGACAGGGAAGAATTGGAAAAAACTTTATCTCTGGAAAACGTCTCCTTCCTGTGTGGCAGGGAGATCAAGGCCTTGTGACCCATAGGTCGAGTGATGTGTCTTGGGCTATGGCTGAGAGGCAATGGCATGTTGTCATTTTATTTCAAGTGTAAAGATGTTTTGTTATTCCAGGTCTTAGATGAAGCTAACAGGGATGCTGATCTGAACCACGTAGCCTGCAACATTGTGAAGAAGCCAGGAAACGTTTACTACATGTACAGGCGGGAGAGTGGGCAGCGGTATTTCTCCATTCTGTCTCCTAAGGTGGGTGGTTACAGGCCATGAAGAAGCAGGGAGGGGAAAAAAGTAGTGTTTCTGGTGCTTGGGAACATATGAAGCTCAGGCAAAAGCACCAGCTGGATGGGGGCATTTGTTTGTCCCTACTCAGGTTTGGTGTTTGCCCTTGCTCTGGGTTAGTCTGCTGGAGCCAGAGCCATCTTACAGAGTTCTCTGGCTCTTGATGGAGAATGGCAAGAAGCCCTTTGGAGCATGGATCTGAATTTTGTTTTTTGGTACCTGTGGTTCTTTGTCTGGGAGGAAAGAACTGCCAACGTGCCCTGAGCCTTCGCTGGCTGGTGTGGCTGCCTGGTAGGACAGTCTCTTAGGTACTTCAGCCCAGGAACTGAGTTTGCCTGCAGCTGAGGTGCTGGTCTTAGAGATCTCCTCCTTCCAGACTACCCATATTCTTACATGCAGGGTGAAGGCTTCAGGGCAGGTCAGGGAGATCTTGTGTCCAAAAGCCTTCCTCTGTCAGTAGTGCTGGAGCTCAACCTGATCTTGGACTTGGGGTAGCTGAGCTTATTTTTAGGTTAGGAAATGGTATGGTTGTGTAGCTGGGACTGCTTCAAAGGTAGTAGGGCTTAAGGACAGCACAGCCCACCTCCAAGGGAAACTGAACACTGATGGAATCTCTCTTTTCTCCACCAGGAATGGGGTACCACTCCCCATGAATTTCTTGGTGCCTATAAGCTCCAGCATGACATGTCCTGGACTCCGTTTGAGGACATAGAGAGACGAGATGCTGAAATAACTGTCCTGGAGAAGCTGCTGAACCAGCAGGCAGCACTGCCCCTGTGCATGGAGCCCAACTTCCAGGGCCTGGCCAAGTCACACAAGTGACCCCACAGGATCCCCTGAGCAGAGTCCCTGAGTGAGGGGACACAGTGCCTGTATGCTGCCAAAGGCGAGGTGGAAAGAGACCAAGAAACAAAAATGCTGATTGTTTTTGTGCTTTAAGGAGACTAATTCTACATTCAGTCTTACTGGATTTTATAGTAATTGAATAATTTACTTTATTGACCTATGTCAATAATTTACTTTATTGACCTGTACCAGGAGTTGTCAGTTCCAAGAGTGCTTGGAGCAAAAAGCAGAAATGCTTGGGGTAGATGTGCTAATGCTGTGAAATAATATCTCCTATCTGCCTGGCTCTGGTGTACCTCACTGTGAGTGCATCAGGTAATGATCTCAGGGCCTGGATTTTCCCCCTTATTAAAATCCACATGTTTAAAGAGCTCTGTGGCCTGGGAAGGGTAGTCAAAAGCCTGTGCAATGGGTCTGTTGTGATGAGTCTTCTGGTCTCTGTCCTAGCTGGTCTGAATCCCTGAGCTGGAAACGTGGGGTGACCCGAAGCTCTTTTCTCTGGAAAGAGCATTCTCAAAGTGCCATGCAGGCTTCAGGTGCTCTTCAGATGATGTGTGTTTCACATCTGTGACAGTGTTCACAGGGGTTTTCAGGCTGAGGGAAGAGACGTAGATCTGACTCTATATTTCAGAAGGCTTGATTTATTATTTTATGATATATATATTACATTATAACTATACTAAAGAATAAAAGGAAGTTTCATCTCAGAAGGCTAGCTAAGCTAAGAATAGAAAGGAATGAATAACAAAAGTTTGTGGCTCAGACAGAGAGTCCAAGCTAACTGGTCTGTGGTTGGCCATTCAAGATGGGCCAATCACAGTCACACCTGATGCATTCCACAGCAGCAGATAACTGTTGTTTACATTTTGTTGCTGTAGCTTTCCAGCAGGAAAAAATCCTAAGAAGAGGATTTTCATAAAAAGATGTCTGCGACACACATCCTCGTGCACTCCCCCTTGGATGTGAGCGCATGAGCTGCCAGGTAGAGGCAGGATAATGGATGACTTTATGCCAGAGCAGTGGGGAGAGTAAAATAAATCAACTGTTATCTCACATGTACCACCAAGACAGGCCTGGTGTTTTTCCTGCATGGCAAAAATACCTTTAGCTTTGTCAGGAAGATTTAGTGGCACGTGGAGCTGGTAGGACACTTCCAGCATGTTTTTTTCCACCTAGGAAAACCAAGGAGAAGTAAAGATCAGAGCTGCTGAGGAGGTACCCTCTCTCTGCTCAGCCACATGGGGATTCTTCAGGAAGTTGCCTGCTTTTCTGTGAGGAGCCAAAGTTGTAATTTATTGACAGAGGGGATGTCCAGGTTGGATCCTGGTGTGTAACATTAGATCTGGTTGGATTCTCCCATGACTTGCTCACTTTCCTGACATTACAAGATGATCTTATATGCTGCTCCAGGCATTACATGTACACAACTGCCTTGCCATCTCCATGGAAAACATGGGAGGGTTGGTGTCCACTTGTAGGAGCTGAATTCTGACCTTCGGCTCTGGGCTGGCTATGGATGGAGTTGGTGCTTCTTGGTGGAGCCCAGCTGTGAGGGCATCTGCAAAAACGAGACCCTTGGGGACCTGCACTGTCACTGTGTTTTGTCACTGCTGCAGTTTATTCCCCCTTTGCAGGACACAGCCGCGCCTCAAGTGTCCCTCTGTCCTCATCCCCACGCACTGGGAGATGCTCAAGGCTGCTGGCAGTGACAGTTCCTCATGGGAAGAGCTGTTTCCTGCTGGTGTTACAGAGGACTGGGAGGTTTGGGGCAGCTCCCTAGCAGCCCAGGATTTTTTTTGTCCCAGATTTTCTTCTAGCTGTGTCCAGTGCAGTAGCTCACCTACATCCCACCATGGCAGAGCCTCTGTTTGACAGAAACCTGTTCCTTGGATTCAATATGGGACATTTTTCTCAATATCTTTCCTCACTTGGAGCACAAGGGCATATTAACAGCAATTTATTATTATTAGTAGTAGTAGTAGTATCAGACCAGGCTATAATTAATTCCTTATCAAGTTACAGGTGCCAAATTTGACAGGGTTTTTCTCTGCTTGTTTCATTGCCTTGAGTTTGATTTTACTGCATGCTATTATATCTTGACTTGGAAGGGAGAAAGTTAATTACTGCATGGACTTTGTGTGCTGCTAATTATAGCAACACCAGATTTTCATGTGTGCTGATTTATGCTCCTCTGAGAAGTGGGGATGCCCCGGTCTTATCTGTTTCCATCATTAATATCTGTACCATGGCACGCACAAGAGGACGGGGGGTGGTGGCTGTGGGCCTCTGTAGCCTTTGGTGGGATGTCCTGTGTGTCCAGCAGACACTGCTGGCCCTCCACACCCCACAGCTCACCCCTGTTCTGCAGTTTCTCTGGGCACTGTCAAGTCTTTCTCGTGGATTTGTTCCCAAAAAGCAAAACCACTATGGCTTTGTATGAAAAGACAAAGGAGGGCTTAAGAGCCAGGACGTGAGGTGATGAGCCCATAGAGATGCTCAGTGTTCTTGGCACTGTGGGGAGTGGGGAATGAGGCTGGTGCAGGGAGGGGTCGATGGAAAGGGGGAACCATTCCCCCAATATTGCTTATGCATTGTTGGGATCTAATTAAAGCCAAAGAACTGAGGCATCATCAGAAATACTGGAAGGTGCTCTAAAGCCAAAGCAACACATAATCTGGAACACAGACAAGGATGAAGCTGATTGAGGTGGAGCCTCCTGTGATGCTTGTGGCGAGGATGAATTTCTGGTGGAATGAGAGATGGTACCCTGTGGGAGACTCCAGGGTCTCTCCGGCTTCTTGATCTCATCCACTTGGCTCAGCCTCTACCCAGCTGGTGCCTTTGGGCTTGACAGGGCAGGGATTTCATTGAAATTCATCTGGAAGAAACAGTGAGACACTGATACCTATTCATGATTTCATCTTGAAAATTCTTATGAAAAGATTCCTCTTCCTTTGCTCTTTTGTGAGTGCTCAGGGCAGCAATAAGCATATTCAGAAGGAATGGCTCTTTCCAAAATCCCCAGTGATGTCCAATATTTGCAGAAGGCACAGATGTGCTTCTGACACCATTACATTGGGCAGAGTGGGTTTTGTTTTGTTTTTGGCCATGCAGATGAACCAGGGCTCATTTAAGAGGTCCACCACAAAGGTGCTCTGAGGGTTTGACCCATTCTCAGAGCCAGTGTTTGGTAACTTGAGGCTGCTGGCACTGGTACTTGCAGCTCTTCCCAGCTTTTAAAATTTGAATTAGCCTGGAGTTTTCTGTTTCAGGCCAGATTTTTGCTTTGCTTCTGAAAGTAGCCATGCCTGGAGATTTTCTTTCTAGCCTCTTATTCCTGAACGATGTGGGTGGTTAGGGGGATTGAACCTGCCATAAGTGCCCACTGCTCTGGGGTGTCATCTCTCAGCCACGAAGTGTCCCAGCAGGAGGAACTGTGGGTCTCTGGCCCTTCTTATGTCAGCCTCAGGTCCAGGGAGAAAAGACAAAAATAAAAAACAAACCCAAACAAAACAAAACGACAAACCAAACAAAAAAACCACCAACAACAAAACTAAAAAACCACAAACAAACAAAACTAAAACCCAAAAAAAACCTTATAAAAAAAACCCTGTAGGGAGTTTGGGCGCTGCCCGGGCGGGCCCCGCGGTGGGGCAGGCCGTGCCCGCGCGCGCCCCCTGCCGGTGCGTGCAGCGCCCTGCGGGCGGCGGCGCGTGGCCGGCAGGGGGCGCTGTAGCTGGCACGCCCCTCGCCGGCACGCTGCGCGGTGACGTCAATCGGCTGCCCCTGTGCCTTCGCCGAGGAGACCCCGCAGTGAGCTGCCAACGCCCGGCGGAGCGTCCGAGGTGAGAGTGGGGGCGGGGGGGAGGGGGGCGGAGACGGGACCGGGACCCCCGGCCGAGCACGGGGACCCCCGGCACCACCGACCGGTCCTGATCTCCGCCCAGCACCCACCAGCGTAGCCCTGGCCTTCACCTCGGCCGGAGCGCCCGCTGTGCGGGAGCCGCCCTGCCGGGCCCGCTGGGTGTGCGGAACCTCCCCGGCAGCCGCCTGCCGGGGGGAAGGGCGGCCTCGTCCCGGCGGGTCTCGGTGGCTGCTGGCGGGCGCTTGCCTTTGTGGGCCTGGTCTGTTGAGACGGTGGGCATGGCCGCCGCTTCTCCTGCCCACCCCCGCCGCTCCTGACGGCGGACGGACTGGACCCTCGGAGCAGCGCAGGAAGCGTTTCCGCGGCCATGGCGGGGCCCGCCCGTGCTCCCTTGGCCCTGCCCGTCCCAGCCCCGCCCTGCCCGTCCCGGCTTCGGCTGCGGCCCTCCGCGCTTGGTGCGGCCCGGCTACGCCCGGGGCTGTGGGAGAAGCCCCAGGGGGCTGCGGGTTGAGCGAGGTGTGCCGTGCCGCAGGAGCCCTGAACCGCAGCAGGGTGCGGGCATGGTGAGGGGTTGAGCTCCAGCTACGTGCCCTGCACAGACAGCGCTCAGTCGAGAAGTCGCAGACTCTTCTGGGCATCTGCCTCACGAGCTCCAGTGCTGTGGGTTACCCAGAGTCGTCCCACAGCTCTCGTTACAGCGTGATGCCCCTGGCCGTAGCTAGGGCAGCAGCTAACACTGCTTCGAGGGTTCGTGTTGTCATGTGTTCTTCATTCTCCTTGGGAATCTCATAAAATGTATGTACTGCAGCAACATAACGCTTGCCTGTGTTTTAAAGGTTTGTTTTAGTGATCTAGACTTCAGTTGTGTATTTGTAAGTAGATAGAACTTGCCGCTGGTGACAGCAGTAGGAGACAGTCACAGGGCCAGTCACAGGTAGCTGTGAGCACAACAGCCAGCATTGGAAACCTGTGCTTAACAAAGAACATTCTCGTGCTCAGGATTCCTGGTGTCCTTTCTATGTGGATGCTGTGGCCGGGGCAGCCAGAGATCCCATCTTGACAGCAGCATGAGGAAGAAAAGCTCTGGCGAAGAGGCCATGTTAGATGGCAACTGGGCGA